CTATAGATCTTTTCTTGAAACCCTACGTGTGAGTAATGATCAATGAAACTCTATCCCATCCAACAAGTTTTCATTTTCTCTTGTGCATTTTTTTTTTTTTTCAATCAGTAAAAGTTTATTTTATAAATTTTACGAGAATTACATCAAGTGAGTTTTTACTTCTAAACACATCTTTCTCTTTTTTTCTTTGGTTGGAAAAAAATTATTATTACACTCGTGAATAATAATACCATAAAGTGTAATACTTGTTTTCATTTCCTTGTTTAGAGGGAAACAAATTTGAAACATATCCCACTGCAAATCATGAAGCCTGCATTATTTTGAAGTTCTCTGATTATATATTATAAGGTTATATTCTTTTTCCACAGCCTCATAGGTAGTATATAATGAAGCTTAAAGTTATATCTACATAAAATATATATTTGAATATTTTGGAAAAGCCCTTAAAAGGAGGTGTAAAGTTGCAGGATTTAAAGGTGTCTGAGAAGAAGACAAAGCATTGGAGTCGGAGAATATATGCTTTCATAAACTTAGGGCATGAAATCGAACACTAGGGGCCATGCTCATCTTGCTTTCCATGTCCACTCAAACACAAATATATTACCTTATTTTATGTCATTCCCTCATCTTCCAATTAATCTACTTTTTTTTAGAAAAAAAATTATAGCTTTGACATTGATTTATATATTGATATACAACCGACCAACATCGATTACTGTAGATTGCATAAATAGGCTACTTAGGTATGGTTGATCACACTCTTTAGCATTGAAGCATTTCTACTCCCTTCTAAGAGCCGAATATTCATGTTCTTGAAAAACACAATTTTGGATATAAAGCACTCACTAGAAATGTAAGAGGGAAAAAAAAAAAGGTTGATTTTACATGTTACATATACGTTAAAATGTGTCATCTAACTCTCTTTCACATTATTCTGAATGATAGTTATTATATATATATCCTCTCCAACAACATTTGTGTACGATACAAACCATTGTTTGAACTTATGGCTTGTTTCACATTGAATTTGTTGTGAAAACAACAAAAACATTGCCCTCAACTCCATATGTTTACATTTAACTACCAGGACTCCACTATTAGTAATCAAAGGTCATTCTAGGTACCCTAGTGGGAACAAAAAGATAGCGTACCATCAAGTCAATGAAAACTTGTACCTCTCTTTCTCTCTTTCTCTCTCTAGCATATCATATCCTGATGATCCATTGGTCTACTTTCAAAGTTCAAACTCTTTAACCCGAGGCGCAACTCAACAACCTTTTTCCAAAGACTATCACTTTCGTGGATAAAAAAGATGTCACAGGAAAGATTAGAAGAAAGCAGTGATTCGATCTCTACATAACAACGATAGACAAAATGTCCCATAAAACTTAGACATCTCATCCCCCTTAGCCATCTTAAAAGCCTGGTATCTTCCGCAAATCATGCTCTCGATCCATTGGTCATGTGCTTTTGTTGTCACTCAAACATTTTCTTCACAAAATATTGAGATATTTCTTGCAACTCCACATGTGCAAACCTATATTGTAAATATTTGGTTGAGCGAAGAGAAGTGTTGTTATACATAGAGAGAGGGTTGTGAGAAACGTGTCACGAAAACTTCAGAGATAATGATAGTTGATAAAATAAACTAGAAAACAATTGAAGTAAAGAATGGCTGTCAAGATATGATAAGATGAACATAACCAATTGAAGCCATTATTATCAAAGATAAGTTGCAATAAGCCGCTTGAATGAGTAAACATTTAACAGTAAATATCATAAATTAAGAAACATTGAAATTATGAATTATGATATTTCGGCCAAATTAATTATTAAATTAGATTTCATAGCCATCGCTCTAATAATTGGTGATTGTGAATCTACTGACAATTAATCAAGGATACAAAAATAAACAATTGTCAATGTTCAACTTTAGTCCACTTCAAGTCAACAACCTATCAAATTATTAGCATCCTAGCACTAGAAGCTCATTCTTCTATCAGAATGTTAAATTTTAAAAAAAAAAAAAAAAAAAAGGATAGCATTCACTCTGTTTGGTTTTAATTTTCTGAATTCAGTTTTTTGAAAATTGAGTTTTTTATTTTTTGTTTTTTTTTTAGTGAATATTTTTTAAATTTTAAGCAATTTTTTATTTTTTTAGATGCACCTTATTCAGATATATCTAAATAATAAAATATTTTAAAAAATTAATAAATACACATAAATATTAAAAAATGTACTGCATTTCCTTTTTTTTTTTTTTGTATTTTTTGGTATTTGGTGGATTTTTTAAACATTTTTTTTTACAAATATTATACTTTTTAAATGTATTTATATTAGATGTGTCTAAAAAAAATTTTAAAAAAAAATTTGCTTAAAATATCAAAAAATTCATTGAAAACATTAAAATATGAAAAACAAAAAAATGAAATTTTATGAAAACTATTTTTTGAAAATCAAAACCAAACAAGCTGCTTATTTCTCATAGAGAGAATAGTTTAAAATATATATGCTATAAAAAAGCAAAGTTTATAATTAATCATAAATTCTCATACTAAATAATTAATGGGGCTTAATTTGTTTGGAGGGAGAGGCTCCTCTCCAGTTGGGTATCCCAATTAGAGGGTGATGTTTGGTCTCGGTGGACTTACCACGAAATCCACATCAATGATCTGAGTTATTCAATATGTAGAACTTGTCAAGTACTTCATTTATGTAAAAACTCACGTTAATTAGATATTGATAATCACTTGATCAAATCACATTTATATAAACAATTTAATTAAAAAACCATACTTACCATTAATATAGATGTGATCTAATCAATTGACCATCAATATATGATCAATGTGATGTTTTACAGGGATGAAATATTTGACGAGACCTACTCATTAAACGGTTCAGATTATCGATATGAATTCCATGATAGACTCACAAAGGCCCAACAGGACTCCTATCTGATTTAAACTGAAGAGAAGCTTTGGCCTTGTTTGCAATTAGTTTAAAAGGAAAGAACACTAATATTCATATTTTGATTTCAAAATGCAATAATGGCATCTTTCTGGATGTGGATGTTTAATTATTTTTTTAATTCTAAATTATTTAAAGTATATTCCACTACGAAAGGAGAGAAGGGGACAAGCAGGCCCATCCTTATAACCCCATCCCTCATATTGAACCTAGAGTACTATAGCTAATAATTATGTGAATTAAAATTTCAAGCGAGCCTAATATAATTACAGTGTAATTTATCTTAATTTTTATGTAGAATTTGTAATATAAAACAACATTGGCAAGTTGTATCTATTTTTCAAAATGATAGGTCTAATTTAGCATAGATCTTATGTACAAAATGTCTCTGTGTCTATTTCTAGCCCAATACACTTTCACTTGTTGATTCATGTCCTAAAATTTTCCTATCTCAAGAATTTCAAATAATTCAATAAGTGAGAGTGCACTCACATAAGGGGATTTAGAGAGAGAAAAAAATTCCTAAATGATCTAATTTTAGTCACTTAATTTGGGCCTGTTTGGTAACCATTCCGTTTTCAATTTTCAGTTTATATTTACAAAAATTTTAAAAACTATTATAAAAACTTGTTTGATAATTTTTTTAGTTTATAAATGGTTGTCTCAATTTATAAATTTGAGAAAAAATAACGTAAACTAAAAAAATGAGTTTACGTTTTTAGTTTTCAATTTTTTTTTCAATTAATTTTTTTTTCAAATAATTTATTTTCAATTATTTTTTTTCAAATATTTTTTTTCCCAATTAATTTTTTTTCAATTTTTTTCAAATAATTTTTTTCCCAATTAAATTTTTTTAAATATTTTTTTTCAAATAATTTTTTTTTCAACTAACTTTTGTTCAAATAATTTTTTTTCAACTAACTTTTGTTCAATTAATTTTTTTTCAATTATTTTTTTCATTTTTTCAAATTAATTTTTTCCAATTAATTTTTTTTTCAATTATTTTTTTAATTATAATGTGTGTGATTCCATTGTCATAAATAATAAAAATAAATATAAATATTTTAAGCCTGAACAAACATATTTTTTAGTTTATGTTTTTAAATTTTTTTAAACATTTTATTCAAACCAAACGCGTTTGTAATTTATGTTTTCCTAAAAATAAATAAAAATTAGTTTATAAAATTTTTGTAAAGATAAAAAAAAAACGTAATTAATATTTACTTTTTCTATTTGTATAAGTTAAAATCCGATGGCCTATAGACAAACCCGACCCCCATTCAGAGGCCCACCATTTAATGGGCCCACATATGTCAACCCAAACCCCGTAGCCTCATAAAACACCAGGTTTTTTGTCGGTCAATTTCCTTTTATTTATTTTATTTTGTTTGTGGATTATGACACTGACAGTATTGACTCACTAATCAACAAGAAAGTGGGATTGTTTTATTTTATTTATTCTTTTTATTTTTTATTTGGTGCCATTTTGGAAACTTTTATAAAAAGCCACGTTTTTTATCATTTTTTAAAAACGTAAGTGACCAAAAACGCAACAAAATTAGTTTGGTAAAGGCCAAAAACGCAAATGTAAAATTATAAATTAAGACTTATGGCAAAAAAATAAAAAAATAAATTTCTTATGTTGGGTAAGAGTATTTTAATCATTCTAATTTGATTTTACACCATAAATAAATATTAAACTAAAAAACAAAAAGTTCACTTTTTACCAACTTCTCAAATCACTTTTCAAAAAGCTAAAAAACTTAATAAAAAGTCAAAAACGAACTTTTTACCAACTTTCCGAAACACCCTATAGTTGGATTCCTCTGGAGAAAAGTGAAAAGTGAAAATTGACCATACAACTTCAAAGAGAAAACTGCCGACGCCTTACAGAGGATGGAAGGGCAACGTGCCTCTCCAGGGCAATTACTTTATCAAAATGGGTTTTTTTTTGAACGATATAAAAATGGATTGAATATAAAAATAAAAAACTTCAAAATAATTGGGTATCATGGGTCCAAACATAACAGTTATTATAGAAGCTAAGATTTAAATTCCATTGATTATAGCAAAAGTATCCCACTAGTCAGCTATATAATACAGCACTTCTAACAAACTAGGACTAAAACCCTTGCACCTCACTAAAACGTAGCAATCTTACAACATGCAAAATTCTCTGCCCAGGCTACAATCTCTAATCAAAACCACAAAAACTCTTCTCTCTCTACTCTATCTTCCTCTCTCTACTATATACTTCCATAAAATTTAACTTCAAATTCTTTTGTCCAACATCCATCTATCCAAAACGTCACCAAAAAAAATAAAAATAAAAAATACATCTATCCAAACAGAACTTAATTCTTATGCAATCTAATATAGGTCCATCTAGAGACTCTCCTGTCAACAGTTTCCCATTTCAGGTACATAAAAATTTCAATTTCCAACCTCTGTTCTAAGACAAACTCAAGTCCAAATCTCATCCTGGGGCAGCACATCCAAGTCTAGTTGAGGTTCACATTCTTTATCACCAAAAAATCTACATCATACACATTAGTAGCATAGCATACTAGCATCAGTCATTCCATCCAAATCTTGCTATCCAAACAACCCACCATAATCTCCATCAATCAATAGTTAATGATGATAACCAAAAGAAATCACATAATGTACGGTGAATCTTAATTATTCCTCGAAAAAATGTCAACCCAATGCAAAAAGTTAGTTCCAGTACTAACACACCCAACCAACAAACTCCCACTTACCAGAAAAATGTTGCTGCGTTGCAAAAAGAGAGCAGCACTTCCGATGAGTAGGCACAAAATGCCAAAGCTTCAATCCCTTCTCCTTCGCTTATCTACAGAAGCACTTTCTAGTTCTATTCCATTTTCCAGCTCCCTCTCTATCCAAGCTTCACTATCATCCATCGCTTCCACTAACTTCTTATTTACAGTTCTTTCACATCTCCTCCTCTTTAACGCCTCTCTAATCCGATTAACATCTATCTTACCATCGCCCCCATGAACAGAAACAATCTTCGAACTTGAGTTCTGATCAGATTCCCCTGCTTTTGGCTTACCATCCCCACCATCATCCTCAACAGCACTATTTGCACTAGCGCAATCACTTGCCTGACAATGTAAACTTTCTTTCATGCTGACATGAAAGTCACTGGAAGCCTCATTCTCACTGCACTTGGACATTGTAGATTTAACTAGCCTTCCAGCATCCACCATAGCTCCATGGCCAGTATCATTTGAGCAACTTACGATGCACGATTGTGGGGTACTGGAAATGGAAGATTTAGTAAGTCCTCTAGCATCCACCATAGCCCCGTCACCAGTATAGTAAGGAACATTTGAGCTACTCATAATGCATGACTGTGGACTAATGGATGTTGCAGATTTAACAAATCCACCAGTATTCACAGTAGCACCATGGCCCAAATATTGGGTGACATTTGAGCCACTTATAATGGCTGAATGTGGGATATTGGGCATTTCTTTCACCTTCCCAAGCATGGGAGGTGGAGCTTGTTTCTGAATTTTCTCCAGTAACCAAAGCATCTGTTGGATGACCACTGCACAAAATTGTGAAGAGAATTAAGAAGCATGCTCCCAAACAAATATGAAAAAGGAGAAAAATATTGAGGAAACTCCTAGACAGAATCGGGGAATGGTGCCTAATCTAGGGTAAAATCCTTTGCATATCATTTACCCAATCTAGAGTACATTCCTCTTATGTATCATTTCATTTCTTCATTGCATTGGACAGTCACCTATTGACTAACAAATGAGAAGCTACACCATCAATGAAGGGAGCCTATGAAGAATGACTATAGTTTAAAATCTGCCATTTCATCAGGGCAACCTAATACACTAAAGAGGGGACATGGGAGGGAGGGCATTCATCAAGACCATCCCTTTACAGGGAGATCACATCAATCCACTTAATTCACCATCCTTGTTTTTTTAATGAATTATAAATCAAATTTCATGAAAAAACTGTAAACATATTACTTGAATGCAGTGTTGAAATGACTCATAACTCATGATGCAAAGATATGGCAAGTAGTCAGGTAATAAGGTACATAGATATAAATTAACAAACCTTCTAATTGCTTAGGTGAAACATCAAATTGCATCCACCACACCTTCCCCTTCTCTGTAGGCAATTTCAATTTTTTTAATTTGGCAGCAAGGTACATAGAGCCAGCTGCAATATAATGGGGTTTGTACTGCAAGCACAGTGTTGTACGGAGCCTACAGGTCCCATTCATAAGAGAGTTTAAACCTTTGATGCAAGCAAATGGAAAGTACGAACAAGATATAGGCCACAACACATTCAGAGAATTTGATAAACACCAAAAAAAAAAAAAAAAAAAAAAAAAAAAAAAAAAAGAAAGATAAGATAATTTACCAATCATTCACAAAATTCCATGCCATTTTTACAATATCCTTATCTGAAATCCCCAATCTCTTCAGAGCTTCAACAAGTGGCTTGTAAGGATGTTCTATATTGAGATCAAAAGCAATTGTTGACAACAAAAGCCTCTCCCCAATTACGATTAATTCCTTCTGTTTATCATAAACATCCTATACAAAGAAAGATGAAGATAATCAAGCCTGAATCGATAGATAGGAGATAGATGCAGATAATCAAGCCTGCAATGTCTGCCATACCTTCTGTCTGATTCTTTGCGAAGCAGAGTGGTCACATCTATACAATAATTTATAAGCCACAACAGCAACGTCACTTAGCCAGCGTGGTGTTTCCTCAGCTTTGCAAGCAAGGAACATGCTGACAGTTGCAATGGTCTACAAAAGGTGCACCACCACACTGAGAAGCATGCACATCAAAGTAGATACAAGTAACTATGTACTGCTATACTATTAAAGAACTTCTCTGTTAATTGATACATTTCGAAAACGTATTCTTGCAAGTACAGTAATGCTAATAAAGAATTTGGATGGTGCCCTCCAGATGGGAAATGTCCGACGTGGTATAGTGAGCACTGAGCAGTTATTTGTGTAACATTAGAAACATATTATGCCTGATAGAATTTTATAAGCAATCACATTAGATAAAGGGCTTGAAAGATCCAATATAATAAAAAGAAAAATCAATATATACAAATACATGCATATTATTTGAGTATACATGCATATATAAGACAAAGAAGACCTCTTTCCTTTCATTTTGTCTGAAAGGGGTTTTTTTCCCATGGCCCTCCTAGGAATGTAACACCACTTCAATATGACTACTTTTAATCTTCCACCTTGGGAATTGATCATTGTCAGCATCGACCATAGTTAAAATTCTCATTGATCCCATTGAATGGTATACAACCAATGCAGAGAATTACCGAATGCCAGCAATACATTGACATCTTCATCTTGTATAATATAATTTTACACAGTGTGACAGATTTGAACTTTACATAAGGGGGTCTATTTGTTAGTAAATGAAAAATAAGACAGTGCAAAATAAAGAAAGTAAATAAATAAAAATAAGTAAAGAACATGGCATCTACCTGCCAATCATTCTTTGCATGAGACTGACGCATGTAAAACCGGTGGCACAACATAATTGCAGTTGCAATTGTCAATTGTGGCCTGAAAAAAAATAATAACACCAATCATCATCTCAAGAACATAGTAGCAAGGGATGAGCTTCTACAAGGAAAGAGGGCGCAATTAAAAAAATAATAAATAATATAAAAACTGAGCTTTTAAAAAAGGAAAAATGTGTACCTACAAACAAACAAGAACCCCAGACGATGTCATCAGAACATAAAGGTTTGATCATCTACTCATAAAAGAACAAGTTCACAGATCTAAAGGTAAAACCATCTTACAAACCGTACATTCTGCTATCCAGTTTTTAAAAAATTGATGATGAATTAACTAGAATGATGAAGAACATCAGCAGCTTGAAAAGAATAAAAACATTTATTACTATTACTACTTGTATTTCACGAGGGGAAATTTGATAACACAGGTGTGTACATGATATGGCGAAGAAACCTCCTACCAAAATTACCGAATACGTATCAAGAGTAATAAATAAGAGGTTGTGTATACAAGCTAAAACATGTAGATGCCAGATGGTAAGCTCTTACTTGAATGAAACTAGAATTTCAAAGACTAAATTCAAATTCTTGAAGAGCAGTCAGCCAAAGTGCATGGGCAAAATCACAAACCGTCATAGTTTTTTGAAACATTAGATCCTGTTAGCAAATTGTACAATACAATTCAATTCGATTTAGTTAGTAATCAATACAAATAGGTTGCATGAATCGAAAGTAGCTGTGAATCGGGGGGTGAATCCATGAATCATGAATCGATCGATTCATTGAAATCAATTTTTCGGTTACGTTTTATATTTTGTATCATTGGAAGATTGTTCACTTTTTAAGGTCTTTACGGTTACTAGATGCCATTCCTTTTTCTCCCGCTTTATTTATTCTCCAAGACTCAAAAACCCTAGGGAAAAAAAACGAACCTTCTCTCTCAATAATATTATAGGTTTACATATTCAACTTTATGTAATTTTTTGCACTTATAAAAGGAATATTTTGAAGGCATTAAGTGAGATTTTTTTAAAAGTGTGGAGATTTAGATTTCTTTATCCCTTTAAGGCGAGTGTTTCTATTACTTTAGTTGTAAAATGTTTAAAAACATTCTTGATGAGTGTTATTGTTGTTTTGGAAATTGAGAGTTTATCTCTGTTTACTTTCTTTATTAAGAATGGTTGATAAGAAATACCTAAAAGAGAAAAGATAAGGTGGTAATCTAACATGGGAACCGATGTTAACTTTTTACCTATTAGACAACTATGATGACATATGCTCTAGCCAATAATTCAATTCATATCTATAAGCTTACACATTAAGCTCCCTTCCAAGCTCTTGCAAAAATGAGCAGTATAACTTCCGCAACTCTGACTCCTCCTCATAGTGAATGCCATCCTTCCTCGATGGAGAATGATCCTCTACTTCTTGTCTACTGAAGTACCATTTGCGTGCAAGGCACAAAGGCTCTTTTGGCATGTGTACAGTTGGTATCTCTCTCAAATTTCTATCCTGAGAAGGATTCCCTGGCAGTTGCCCTACCATGGTTTCCCTCTCTTCTTAATAGAAGATGGAAAAAATATAACTGTTGAATTGTCCCTCCTTGTCTAAAGCTCACACAGTAGTGAATCAACAAACAAAATCTGCAGAATAACATGATAAGTTCTGTTAAGATTGACATATTAAATAATGAATACAACAACTCTTCAAAGTACAAATAATTAACAGAATACATTTCACCAATTATGTGCATCGCAAGTGACCTAAAGGCAAATTAAATATACCTTCAAAGGACTCCCGTCTTTCAAAAATTTATTGTTTCTCAAGATTACCAAACAGATCCTTCCAAAAAAACAGATCTACATAACTAATAAAGGCAGCCAAAAATATTCTGTGATTTCTGAAAACATCCATGAAAATTTATATGAACCCGAACCCTAATTTAAAGCTCACACAGTAGTGAATAGACAAACAAAATCAGCAGAAAAACAATGATAAGTTTCGTTAAGATTGACATATTAAATAATGAATACAGCAACTCTTTAAAGGACAAATAATTAACAGAATAATGCATTATACCAATTACGTGCATCGCAAGTGAACTAGAGGTAAATTAATGTACGTTCAAAGGACTCCCATCAGGCGGAATTATTGGGATACATGTTATCAACCATTTAAATATTTTATTGTGCCTCAAGATTTCCAAACATGTCCTTCCAAAAAAACTGACCTACATAACTAACATAAAGGAAGCCAAAAATATTCTGTGAAAACATTCATGAAAAATTATATGAACAGTTTTATATAAAAAAATCTGCCCTCCCCAATTGATAATTTGAAGATTCTCTTTATCGTATAGATGTTTAAACTGGAAAACTATTTAACTCTTGCTTTCTCACAATGATGATGACTTAAACCCTTTGTCTCTTTGGTTTTGGTATGCAAAAAAGGTGGTCAGTCCAATTGTTCAAATTATGCAGGGAAGAAATTGAGTTCTCTCCAATCTATTAAATGGAAAGCATTATTCTGTCTAGTACAGAAAAGTCCCAATCTGTTCTGCAGTTTTACATATTATCTAGCTAAGAAGTATGGACACGAACACATGACACGACAAGAACGCAGATACGCCATTTTTTTTTTAAAAGCAGAACACAATCTGTGGGGGACAGACAACATAAAACTAAGTTCCAAAAACAAAAAAAAAAAGAATTAGTAGGTATAAATCTAGATATGCATATAAACTCCTAAGAAATGAAAGTTATCAGAATTTTCAAAGATGCAACATAAATACCACCTCATTATCATTAATCGCATTTTATACGGTGAATTTTCGTTAATAGGTAAAAGAATCGGCAAATTCGACAAGTTTTTAATCAAGATTTCAAACGCTAGCCGTGCACAAATCATCGGTCACAAGTAGATACGAGAATTAAAGAAAATCGCATCAATTTACGAAGGATCTTGCATTACCAAAAAAATCACAGAAAAAAAAACAAAAAAAAACAAAAAAAAAAACAACTTGCTAACCGAATTTCTAATCTACAGTTTATCAGCAAACAAACGGAGCATAAAAGAGAAAGAACAAGAGATACCTGATCGGATCAAAATTTCTGAATCTGGTTGAATTTGAAAGGAAATACCAACCCACATAAATTACTATGGAAAACCCTAGTTTATCAGGTTTGCTACTCTATTAAAAATATATTCATATACTACTTCTCTCCCAAAAAAATATATATATATATTATCCTAGGGGTGCAATTCAGGCGATTTTTTTTTATTTTTTTTGTTAGTCTTCTATTAAGTAAAAGAGTTAGTCTTAATTTTTATTTTTTTTTATTTTTTTTGTTAGTCTTCTATTAAGTAAAAGAGTTAGTCTTAATTTTTATTTTTATTTTTATTTTTGGTTAGTCTTCTATTAAGTAAAAGAGTTAGTCTTAATTTTTATTTTTATTTTTATTTTTGGTTAGTCTTCTATTAAGTAAAAGAGTTAGTCTTAATTTTTATTTTTATTTTTATTTTTGGTTAGTCTTCTATTAAGTAAAAGAGTTAGTCTTAATTTTTATTTTTATTTTTATTTTTGGTTAGTCTTCTATTAAGTAAAAGAGTTAGTCTTAATTTTTATTTTTTATTTTTTTTTGGTTAGTTTTCTACCATTAGATTAGCATCTTTTATGTCTACCCTTAGATCTACCTACAGGTTTCTGAACTCGCGCAATTCGGGCAATTCGGGCAACCCGAGTTCAAAATACAAAGCTTGGGCCGGGCTTGGGCAACAATGTTCGGGTTCATGGTCGGGTTGGGCGGGCTTGGGCAGTGCCAAATACAATTTGGGTCGGGCTTGGGCAGACCCCCAACCCGACCGAACCCGCCCGAGTTGCACCCCTACTTTCAAGGAATTCAATTTTTTTGATAATACAATTAACACACTTTAAAAAGTTAATGTACATTTTTTAAAAAAAAAATATTTATTGCCATAATTATACATTTTATATATATTAATATTAGGGACATTGTTATACAAATTTAAAAATTATATCTAATTTTCAAGCTGTGCTAATCAATGAGGATGTTTAAGATAATACTCTCTTTCATATATTTTTTTAGAGTCCGGATCCTCTGTCACGTTTCCCTGTGGCGGTCCCTGCGGTGCCTCAAAACAACGTCGTTTTGAGGCAAAATTTCAAAAAAAAAAATATGCAAAAACACAGAATCAGAAGAGAAAGGAGAAGAAGAAAGCAGAATAAGAGAGAGAGACGAGAAGAACACCATCTTCTAATAAAAAAAGTTGAACACATCTTTAGAGATCCTCATAACCAACTCACAGAACACAAATTTCAAATTCACTTATGGATTTCCCCACCTGAGGCTCGATTTGGACGTCGGAGGAGTAGTGGAGGCTAGCGGAGGAGAAGATCTGGATGGTAGTGATGCGACGGAGGTTGCGCCAGAGATCGCCATAGGGGTTGAATATCGTTGTGGTGGGTGAAGAATTGTTCGGCAGTGAAGGAAGATGAAACCATGACGGTGGGACGGCTTTCTCTAACCCTAAGGTTAGGGAACCCCTCTTCACAAAAAATATCCACATCGACTTCACATGCTTTTCTTTTCTTTTCTTTTTTTCCACAAGACATGAAGATCAACTATATCTTCATCATCTGCTGGCATAAATTGAGAATGACTGTGGATTAGCCATTTTAAACCTACCATTGATATGAAATTTTTCACTTTGAAAATGCCTAGTTTCTCCCCCAAATCCAAAACTAACTACCATGTTCGATCCATTAGCTCGCAGGCACGATCACACCCAACGACACTCTAAATTGACGCTGCTTTCTCCTCTCTCTCTCTTTTTCTTCCTCTGCTTTCTTCTTCCCCTTTCTCTTCTGATTCTGTGTTTTTGCATCTTTTCTTTTTTTTTTGAAATTTTGCCCAAAAACGACGTCGTTTTAGGGCGCCGCAGGGAAACGCGGCAGAGGATCCGGACTCTTTTTTTTAACCATTAATCAATCATATCATTTACACATCATTAAATTTAGAAAATTGATCTAAAAAAATAAAAAAAAAATGCTATAGGTCCCAAATTTTTTATACTCATGTGAGACATTTAATCATTTTTTTAGTAGAAAATTTGATATTCCTAACATTACCCCTAAAAAATGGACTTGTATATCATTTTTGGGTAAATTACACTTACACCACTGAGATTTGGGTTTAATACATATTATCTCTTGACGTTTGGAAAATTAAACTAATCCTTTATCATTGTAATTATTTAGACGGAATGAAAATATTATTAAACTTATGCATTCTTTTTTTTTTTAACTTTGCTTACTTTCACTGTTTTTTTTTCCTTTTCCTTTGCTCTACTTTTTTTTTCCCAATGTAATTTAGTTTGTCTTTCTACTAGGAGTTGTTGTCTTTTATATAAGCAAGAGGTTTGTGAAATGATATTATGAACCACAGGGGTGAGAATGTAAGTTTTAGAACGTCAAGGGATGGGATATAATTGAATTAAATCTCAGAAGGTGTCAATGTAATTTACCTATCATTTTTCTAAAAGAAAATTGTTAAAAAGTCCAATATAAAGAAAGTATAAGGTATTAATTCTAGTGGATATTTTTTTATTGGTGAGCAGTCTACCATTTGTGAAATAGTTTGGTGATAAGTCTTTTGTTGTTCTAAAATGACATTTTGTTTTTAATTTTACTCTTTAATTTATTTGTTGACTTTTTTTTATCTGCTGGCTTTTTTTTTACTATTTGTTCAAATTTTGTCTACTTGTTCGATTTTTTTTATCTATCTATTTAAATTTTTTCCGTGTAAATGTTGTATCGGTCCAAAATTTTATCTTTGTAAATTTTCTAGATGTCCAATTTTTTGTCTATTCAATGTTCAATATTTCTATACAAATTTTATATCCTAATTTTATTTGTACAATTTTTGTAGAGCAATCAAACAAGACGTACTCTCTTTATTTGTGTGTATATCTCTCTATATATTTGTGTGCTTCTGGAGGTGTTTGTTTCAACTTTTCAGAGCTAATTTATGGCTTTTAGTTTTAAAAAAATTATTTTGGACTGTTTGATTAAACTTATTTCAAACAGCTTCTGATTCTAACAGCTTATTTTAACTCAAAAAAGCTGATTCTGAGAAGCTGCTCACCCCTTGCTTCTGATCATCAGCTTCTGCTGTGGACATGTTAATTTATAGTTATACTCTTAATTTTTTTATTTTTTATTTTTTTAAAATAGAAAAAGACTCAAATGGACTATAAATTATTGTTATTATTTTTTATGAGAAATGTAGACAAACAAAAAATAAAAACTAATTGAAAAAACTATTTTACAACTTATTTAACAAACACTACTCAGCAACTTAAATCTATAATCCAACAGCTACACCAAACAGATTAACAACTTCTGATTAAAATCATAATCTATAATCTATTAAGTTATAATTTATAAACTTTTTTAACAACTACACCAAACGGGACCAAACGGGGCCTCATCACATCATCAATGGAAATGAATGCTTGCGATTTTTAGAAGACAAAGATCAACAAATTAACAATAGTGCCAAAAAAAACAAAAAAAATTCAAACCCAAGATCTGTCCTCTTTTACTACCGTCTACCAAATTCTGTCTCTCACTCTTTCATTCCCAAATTCCCAAGGACCATTTCAATCGCTTCTGAAAAACAAATCAGTCCAAACAATCTTTCTCTTGTTATGATCCGTCGAATTCCAACTTTCGAACTTTTCTTCAAATCATGGCTCCAAACCCAATTCCTCTCCACAGACTCAGTCACTCACATCATTAGTTTGGCCCTTCTTTTGCCTAGGTCCCTCCCCACTTACCTCCAAGGCTCTCGATCGATTTCTCTCAGACGAGTGCGTGGTAGGCTCCAACACCGACCTCGACCACGTTGACCTCGCCGCCAGCCGTCGTAGCAAAATTAAGGTCACTAACGCTAGCGACACCTTCTTCGATCTATTCAGAATTTAAAGATGATGGCAAGATTGTGAGCAAGAGAGAGAAGATGAAGAGAGATCGTCATTACATAAGATCAAGAGCTTTCCGATGAGTCTAGTGAACTTGATATTACGATTGACCGCCAACATCTTCGTTTTGCTGCTGATGTACGATAACTGATTGTTATAAGGCCTAGGGTGGATTCCGCCGCCATAACTGGTTGTACCGCTAGTTGCTTGTCCTATAGCGGTGATCTAGGGTTCGGTAATGGTGAGCAAAGAGACGATATCTAAGGTTTAGAGAAAGAGAAACTAACGCCCCATTTGTTTTAGGGTGCAGAGGGTGTATAGAGGGTGTGATGAGATTAGGATGTGTGATGAGATTTATTTAGGTTAAGTTTGGCAATTCAAGAATAATTTATCTTTTTATTTTTTTTATTATCATATCATCTCTCTATTTTTTTTGTACATCTTTTCGTAAAAAGACAAAAAGTGCACTTATTTAGGTCATTTCAAACAACCCATTAGTGTTGTGTTCGTTTGTAAAGTTGGGGAAGTGATTAGAATGAAGGAGGTGAAAATGGTATTAGAAAAATAGAGAGGGGACTATAAATTTTTTTATTTATTTTTTATTTTTTACATGTTGGACATTTTTCTTTAATATTAATGTTTAATTTTTTGTATTTTTTTATTTGTTTTTATTATTTTATATAAAAATAATTTAACAATTTATACACTAACAACTATCATCAAAACAAACACAATTTTATTTAATCCCCTCACTAACAATCCCCTCACTATGAATCTCCTCCATTCTACCTCTGAAAACAAACGGGGCCTAAGGTAGAGAGAAAAACGGTGGCACAAATGTGAAAGTGATTAGTAAGGGGTGATTTGGCGTCCCTTATATAATTCATCTTTTTATCTTTTTTTCATCACATCATCTCTCTATTTTTCTACATATCTTTTCGTAAAAAGATAAAAAGTACACTTATTTAGATCATCCCAAACAACCCTTAAGAGAAAGAGATTAAAAAATTAGAGTTTTGAGGAATAATATATCTTTGGGGTGTTTTGGTCATTTTATAAGAGTTTGGTCTTATAGATATAATATTTCAAAGTGTAGACCTTTAGGCAAAGCAAAATATAAATATGAATTTATGGACCGAATGCCATTTTTCTAATAGTAATAAATTTAAAAGAATAATCGAATTAAGAATTTGTATTATTTTAGTACTTAATTTTTAAAAATTAG